TGAAATTATTCGCTCTCATCAGATTTGGAAAAAAATTTTCAATAAATTGATCAATAAAACATAAATCGCGATTTTCGTTTCATTTCAGAAACCAAAATAAGAGCGAAGACAGGAAAAGGAAACGCAAAAAGCCCAATGATAATGATAACGTTCGAAAAAACAATCGTAACAAAGAGATCTACTGCAGAAATCATATGAACATTTGATGCATGTAGCATTTTGATTAGAAATCTGACAAATGGGTTCTTCTAAAGAAAAGTTTATATCTTTCAACTCTTTAAACTCCACGTATGGAACATCAAATCTGCCTTTGAACCATGCATATTTAAACATCGGTTGATATACTCGAGATTGAAATTGATTTAGAATCAAGCTGTGGATTTTTAATATATTTTCGCGCGCGCGCGCGCGTGTGTGTGTATGTGTGCAAAAGCGTTTGATTTCCAGTAAGAAAAGCGTGTTCCGTAAAATGCTTGATGAAATCTTTCCATTGATGGAAGCAAAATAGATCGAGTGGTTGCATGAAACCCGTTGAACCTTCTGGCAAAATTTTTAATAAAACAGTTACATTATCATCTTGATAAAGTTCGTCTGACTTTTGGGAGTCCCACGAGTCTAGAATCAAAACGGCTTTCTTCTCTGGACTTTGTTCAACGGTGAGTTTAAAGACATTTTGAAAAAAATCTCTTACAAGTGTCTTGTCTAGTTTGCCAGATTTAGAACATCGAATTACAAGATTTTTGTAATTGGGAAGTTGTATGGTCGTAGGAAATTTACCATTAATTTCCTGGAGACAAATCATCATTGGCGACATCAATTTTCCTTCCATAGAAAGAATTGGTTGGATAGTATAAGAATGAGTTCGAGCATTTAATTAAGGGATTACAGCTGTCGTAATTTTTTCACCTGTTAATGATAGCGTGCGATTGGAAAGTGGCATGTAATTAAATCCCGACTGATCGGTATTGAATATTTCACTTGCATCAAACTTTGAATAAATGTTATCAACAAAATCGTGATGAAATTTAACGCCTTTATTCACAGTTTCCTCGGCTTCGTATTGTTTCTTAACAGATGTGAATAGACAGATTTTTCTTGATGAAAAACCAAAATTTCTCTTAAACTTGTTGACCCATTTCAACGACGCTTTGAAATCCATCAATCTAATCAATTTAGCATGGTACAGAGACCACCGTCGAATAGTTTGGTCATGGACAGGAATTCCCTCAGAACGGGCCTGTATGAACTACTCTAAACAATATTTTGTCACGGATTGCCACTTTTCCCGATGTGTGCCATAATTTTCAACATATTTTTTACATCTATTTATATATACAGGATGTTTTATTTTGGGAAATCGAGCTCTAATTGTATTAAAGGACCACTTTGGATGCTCCTCGCATGTTTTTACGACTTGCTGCGCATATTCGAGTGGTATAAAAGCTTCTAGAAAAGACCTTTCTTCCTCTTCATAAATTGGCTCGACTTCATCATGTTCAAAAATGGTATCAGTATATACATCATTAACTATTTCAAACGCAAATTGGTCTTCGTTATCCATGGAATTGATCATGGATATGACTCTTTCCACTAGTTAAATCTCTTTACGAGATGGGCTGCCCTCAACAGTGGCGTAATTCACAAACTTTTGCTTAAGAAGCTCAAATACTTTTAATGCCCTAATGGCCATTTTGAGCAGAACACATAAAAATAAACACGTTTAATAAGAACAAGATAGCAAGATTAAATACAAAGTGAAATGATGCAGAGAGGAAAAAGAATGCAATAAGAGAATGCAAAAAAACAAATCAAATTTGAAAATCTTGGGAAGTGAAGAGCGCTTGTTTACTTCAAACAGCGTTTGCTTATTCGGAAGGCAATATCTCGGTGCACTCACAAGCACTTGTGACAGTACCCGTGCGACACAGCGCGAGACCAAGGCCGCGGTCCGATTCACTTTCACAACGCTTAAAAATCATTTCATCCTTATTGTTTGTCAAATGTTAAACGAAGACAAACGATGTTCATGAGCGTTGTCAGCATGAATTGGACCACGGCCCAAATATATAGAAACAGAATAATTGAAAGGCGCAAAGTTGAACTTTTATATCCGGTTTACAGCGATAAGCAGCGATAGGTGGCGCTATAACTCTTCGGCGGTTGCCGCTTGGCTGCAAATTGATATCTCGGAGTGAGTACATATACATGACCCTAGAACAGTGCTTGCAAGGATTTGCACATTTCGGGCCGATTCCGGCGCGCGATCCCCACCACCGCACCTGGCTCGGCGGCCGAACCGTCGGGCGTTAATGTAAGGCATTGTCTACAATACACGGAGTAAAAAGTAAGAGTAAGAAATCGACCAATCACAGTCGATTATTCTTCTCACATTCGACTGTGATTGGTCAATTTCTTACTCTTACTTCTTACTCCGTGTAGTGTAGACGGGCCTTTAGGATATGAGCACAAGGATTGCCGTAACGCTTTACGGCAGTTTTAAGTTGTAGACGTAAGTAACGTACAAGCATTGGCGTATGACTTTAACTTATGTATGTTGCAATGCCTATGGCAATATACATAAGTTAAAGTCATACGCCAATGCTTGTGCGTTACTTACGTCTACAACTTAAGACTGCCGTAAAGCGTTACGGCAATCCTTGTGCTCATACCCTTAAGACTTCAAGTTTATAACAACTTGTTGCAGAATGTGTGTAACTTTTCCTAATTTTTAAAACTATAAAAAGATAAAGAATAAGTTAAATCGAGATTAAAATTAATCTACAGTGGCACAAAATACTGAAAGATAACGAAAAGAGGTCTTTTTTAAGTTGTCTTTCCTACAAAACGAAAAAGATGACTAAAAGATATTGTTTTTAGATTGTCCTTTCAGCAAGACCAAAAGATGTCTATAAGACATATTTTAGTTTTGTCGAAAAGACAACTTAAAAAAGACCTCTTTTCGTTACCTTTCAGTATTTTGTGCCACTGTAGATTAATTTTAATCTCGATTTAACTTATTCTTTATCTTTTCGTCATCTTTCTATGGTTGTCATTTTCGCAAAGCAAAAGGTTGACTAAAAGATATCTTTTTATATTACCGAAAAGACAACATGAAAAAGATATCTTTTCGTTATTTTGATACTTTTTATCACTTATTTGCGAGCAGTACGTCAAATCGCCACCAGATGGACGTAACGGAGTTCAGTTTCTCGTGTTTGAAAATCATACAGGACGGAATAAAAGGTGCAGAATTTTGAAAAATTTTACTCGTGCTCTAATGAACGCTTAATAAAATATATTTTGTAATCGAGTTCCCAAAGAGGACTATGATGAAAGATAATAGCTCTTGCACATAAGACACGACAAACGTTGCAAGAAATGGGACGTATATTAATTGTCAGTCATGCAATTTTATTTTGTTTTATGTAAAAATTAATTTAGGAATTCGATGTTATTAAACGTTATATTGTATCAAGATATAAAAACTAAAAGAAGTATTATATAAAAATGACTAAAAGATATCCAAAGAAGTCATCTTTTAGTTATCATATGGAAGACTATAAAATGATTAGCAGTGCGACATCTGTCGTCTTTTAATAATCTTTTCGTTGACTATATTCTTTCACTAAAAGATATCACAACTATTAGTATATTATAAAGATATTGTAATAATTTAATCGTCTTTTAGTCATCTTTTAGACGACTTTGTGCTCTCTGGGGGGGCATTTTGGCTGTAATATTTCATGAGTAATAAGCGCGTTACCGAACTGCTATCACGTACGCATTTCTCGCGTGCGCCTCGCTTATATTATCTTGATATCGATTTAAGATACGATTAACATGATAATTTTAGAAATAGTTCATGATACGATTATCGGGTTAGCTCTAATTAGAGTTCTTCGAATCTCAACGCAACTTAAAAAGATTTAACGTGCAAATAATGACATCTAGCGGTGCTGCTAAGAATTACGTTTTATTATTTGAAATTTCGCAATTAATTCATTATTTTATTATTAAATTGTTGTAATTAATTCGCCATTTCAATCATATGAAGCATCTACTACATTTCGAAATTAATTTTTATGTAATTTGGACAGTATTACCATCGACGAGATACTATTAAAGACCGTCAATCCTGGGCAAATTTTCGGCGGTATAAAAAGGACTCCAAGGGCCCAGAGGTAATTGAAAAACGCTAACATTATCAACAATTGATATAAATTTGCTATTATCATAATGAAATATTATTTGGCTAATACATTATTAAATTCATGATTTTTTATTACATAAATGCATATGCATACTATAAATAAATATGCATATTTGTAATATCCTATATATTAATTGCTAAAAAATTACAATTTTTTTCTCTGCAGTTATTATCTCTGTTGATAATCAAACTTTGGTGATAACACTGAAATCACAATTTTAAAAAAATTGAGTATTATTGAGTTTTAAATATACATACACACCGATAAACACGTTTACTAAACTAATAAATTATAAAATTAGTACAATATTATCAATTTTTTTACTCTTAATCGCTTCAGTATTAATGCTGCCGCGCACTACTACCCTCTGACCAAATGGATATAAACTACATAACAAGTCCACTTTTCTGAGGGTACATACGTCCACTTTTCAAGGCTGCAGATGATAAATCGATATTTGGTTCGTATAATCCACAAAATAAGAGAAAAGGAAACTCAACTTGATAGCGCGCGGGCAGAAAAAGTGGAACCGGTTTTTACGCTGAATTGGGAGAGAATTCGCTGAGAGGAATAACTTGCTAATTTGGACGCCATTTGCAATATCAACCTTATCTCACTTATTTTGCTTTATTTGCTGGCTTTATCCATTTTATCAGCACTGCGGACTTATTCTGTAATTTTTAATAACGCAAATTTCGTTATTATTATAACGAAACTTGCGTTAAGAGCAGTTAAGAGTGTCTCTTGTGCTAGTGTCTCCCAATTGTTGCGGCCTGATTCCTTTAAAAGTTATCCGAATAAAAAATATTTACCTTACAATTAAAAGTACTTTCCTCTCAATCCGGCTCATAAACCGGTTCCATCTTTTTTCACGAAGTTGAATCTCCTTTTCTCTTAGTCCTTATCTACAATAGAGTTTTAAGCCTTAAGGAGATGCTAAACCGATTATCCAACTCAATCAAGGTCGATAGTACAGACTTTTTTAATTCCAAATTCGATAATAGTGGTGACATCTTTAATTTAGTTTTTACATTATATTATATAATATATATCATT